TCCCACTAGAGGGAATCTTGGCAGAAATTATGGAAAAGCTGATTTATCATGGGTTTCCCACTGGATGTTTATTTTATTATGCTTGGAGCCAAATCCTTCTACTATAATAGGGCTTGTTTATTATTTTCTGCAGGGACATCTTTTTCTGAGATTCACATTATAACAAAAATATTATTCCCTCTACAAGAAAGAGTGATCATTCTAGTTTCTTAGATTGATTCTATTTTGTTAAATCCTAAGATTCACTGTTCGCGATTGCCTTGTCTAGATTACAGTTTCTCCAATCTATATTCACATATTTATTTATCCTTGCATTTTGTATTAAGTTGTACCACATATCTTCGGAACTGCGTATAAATTCAACTCTATCCATTTTTCGGGTAAACAATATTAGTACTAAAAGTTAAGATTAAACTACACACATTTCTAGTAAAATTTGTCCAACGCAAAATATTTAGGAATCTTAACACATTTAACCGGCTGGTTTATTTTTTTATTTTTGCTGGTATAAATCGATTATATACTGATTAAACATGATTAAATATATATTATACATCTGTCAACTAACCTTAGTTTAAGCAGGTGGTCGACTGTTTACTTTAATCCTTGAATATTTTAAAACAAAAGCGGGCAGGGTAAAGGTGAATTCGGGATTTTAATTTGATGAGTTCAATCATTATATTTTATCATTGAACTCATTACACAATTATCATTATCTGTTTAAACCGTAGTATTTACCGATATTTGGTGATCTTCTGCATATATATCTAAGTTCGTTATTAAAATTATTAGATTCACTTGAACCCCTGCTCGGATAGCTACATCCGCCCCTAGGACAGGGTATTTATCAACAAAAAACAGTTCTATTTCAAAGGCGTATGGACTATACATGTTGTGAATTCAATTAAACCATTTTTTCCCCTATTGAGTATAGATATACAAGTGAAAAATTGTGAACTTGTCAACAAATATTAAAATCGAAAGTTGAACCCATTACTCAAGTTTAAATTTTGAATTTGCCTCTGATCTTATTCGCTCTTTCAGGTGGGATTTCCACTGTTATCGGGGCAGTACTAATTCTAGGTAGAAAAGGATTTGGTCCCCCAAGTGAATTTGCCATAGCAAGAATTACAGAAACTTTCATTGGATTATCATGTTCAATAATGGTGGAAATTTTGTTACAACCAACAAGAGCTTCTACATTAGCTAAAATCCAACTTTCCAAGAGTTTTGGAATTTTGCATGATTGCATTGACAACATAAGTTTCGGTTCATATAGCAAAAATAGCTTAGAAGAAAGCCAAAGGAAACTAAAATTCCACGTAAATGAATTGGGAAAATTCATTGCGGAAGCTGAGGCAGAGCCCAATTTCTGGTTTTTCCCTTTTAGTAGTGCTTGCTATGGTAAGCTTATGGGGTCATTGTCAAAAATGGTGGAATATTTACTTTTTGGGTCACAAGCACTGAGATTCCTAGAACAAGAATCTGAAAAAATCGACAGTAATGTGTGGAAAACAATTGTGAAAAAACTAGATGCTGACATCATGCTTTTTAAGGATTTAATTGGCTCTTATACAAAATGTTTTGAGGAGGTTAGTTTGGTAAAATCACTTGTTGTACTTGACAAGGAATTTGAGAAGAAGAAAGTTGCAGTTGATCTTGAGCTGGGCAAATTACCAACCCCTTATACCATAAGGTCTTCAAGTGAAGAGGAAATTGAGAAAAACTTAGTTTCTTTTCTTCAACATTCAAATGAAGTTGTTGAACTTATTGTGAAAGGTGGTAAAAGTGATGAGAAGCTCAAGGGACAATTGGTTTTAAGTTTGAGTGCATTTGGTTTTTGTATGGATAATCTTGTGAAGGAGACTAAAGAGATTGAGAATGGAATTAAAGAACTTGTACAGTGGGAAAACCCCTCTTGCCATGTAAAGTTGTATGATATTTCTTGTAAAGTACGGGCTTTAGCCAATACTGAAAAAAATTGAAGATAATGATATTTGAAATTTGATATTGTTGAAATTAAATCTCTTCTTTTAAATTTCTAAACTTGAAATTTCTTCTTCACAGTGAAACTTTTAGGTTTTTAAATGTTCAATTACCAAAAAGAGTGGAAGTAGCCATTTTCAAGCATTTTTTATACAATTTAGTATGATATACTAAGATAATTTGATCAGTCTAATGAAACCTCCGTCCAAAAGACTAGGCCAAGCAAAGATTCATTTGATTATTCTTTGAGCAAGTAATTAAGTATTGAATAATCACATCATCCAACATTTATGGATCATGGGTGTCAATATTATAATATTGGACCAATTTTAGAAAATACGTACATAAAATACCTAATTTGATGGAGGGACCATGGATTCACGTGCCCATATTTAGGTTACCTCTCATGTGTAGGGAAGGGGGGGAGGAGGAGCACATGAGCGAACTATTCAACTAGTGCTTCTGTCGGACTTTTGATCTTAAGAGTTCCAAGCAAAATATATGATTGTTTTTAACATATATATACTTATATATTCAGAATTTTTGTCGAAATTAACGGATCTGGTGATCCCTCTTTTCAAGTATAGGTCCGCCTTTGACCGTACGGACCATTCTATGCGAAAAGAAATATTTAAAAAAATCAAGATAACTTACATGTATGTATGCACAAAATAATACATTATTTTCCGTGAAGGACCACTTGTTATTAAGCATAAAACTATTTGATTTTTAAAATAATATTCACATATAGTATAGACATATGCAAGATTTTGTACATGCACACATAGGAATCCTCCTTGTTAGTGCTAATTAGTGGCTCCGCCACAGGATATTACCTAATTAATCTCCATCATTCCATGCATGTTGAGCTCCTTCATTTGGAAGAAATTAAACGACCTTTCCATATCCAGAAGGCTAAGCTGATGAACTATTAGGTTTTTAAATGTTCAAATACCAAAAAGAGTAGAAGTAGCAAATTTCAAGCATTTTTAATACAGTTTGATATACTAAGATCACTTGATCAGTCTAAAAATAAATTTGTAAAGAGCAAAAAAAAAAAAAAAACCATTTGACCCTTTACACTTGAGTCACAAAGATAAGTCTTTAGTAAAATTAGGAATTAATCCTGTCATAATTCAGAGTATTGTCCAAATTAAAAGTTTTTATCTTTTTTTAAAGCTTTACCTAAATTAGGATCTGGATTTGATTCTCTAGACTTTTTCCTTTCATGATTTTCTAAACTTGGTTTTACTTAATTTAATTTGATTCTACGTCCTAGATTTTTATGATCCTAATTAATTTGCACCAAAATCTTCTTTTGAACCTATGATTTAGAATAGTAGTTTTACCTATAAACAATTTTAAAATCTTGTTTTTCCATTATTATTATTCCTTGCAAATTTATCTCAATTCTCATCCTCAAAGTGCCACCGATATTCAAAAGTAAGTTTTATAGAGCGGTGGTTAGACCGGTCATGTTGTATGTGGCTGAGTGCAGAAATGAGCATGTTGAGGTGGATGTGCGGGCACACTAGGATGGATAAGATTATGAATGAAAATATTCGGGAGAAGATGGGTGTGGCTCCTATGGATGACAAGATGCGGGAAGCGATGCTCATATGGTTCGGGCACGTACGGAGGAGAAGCCCGGATGCTCCGGTAAGGAGGTGTGAGCGGTTGATTTTGGTGGGTATGAGAAGAGGTAGAAGGCGGCCTAAGAAGTATTGGGGAGAGGTGCAGATCAGCAGGACATGGCGTGACTTCAGATTTTTGAAGACGTGGCACTTGATAGGAAAGTGTGTGGTATGGAGGTCGAGCATTAGGGTTGTATGTTAGGAGGTAGTTGAGCAATTCTCTACTTCGTACCGATATGAGGCTAGTTGATTGAGTTTTGTCTTTGACTGCTAGTGGTTAATATCGTGTTCATACTATTCTCCCGTTTTTTATTGTGTCGGGCCTTATTTAGTGATTATTGTTATTGCTTTTCATCTATTTTATGTTTCTTATGATGCTGTCATTATTTCTTGATTTTCTGTTGATGGTACTAATATAGTGTCTCTTTTCGTCTTCTTGAGCCGAGGGTCTTTCGGAAACAACCTCTCTATTCCCTCGGTAGGGGTAAAGTCTACGTACACACTACCCTTCCCACACCCCACTTGTGGAATTTTACTAGGTTGATGTTATTATTGTTGTTGTCTCATCCTCAAAGTTTGAAAACGAGTGCTTTTATCCCCCCCCCCCCCCCCCCCCCCCAGTAGTGGCTCCAAATCACCTCAAAATTACACCGTTCTCTTCATCTCACTCCTCTCTCTCCTAATCTGAACCCCAAATCTTCAAATACCCCTCTAAATTCCGTGGAATCGAAACCCTAGATGGCCGCCTCTTACTTCCCTCTTCGATTTCACATTTATGCCATACTAAGTTCCATTAAACCCGTAAAATATATGCCACATTTGATTAAGGAAGATTGTGAACAGTCAAAAAGACTGTTGACTCGTTTCAAGATCAAGAGCTAGCCATGAAAACCTAATTTTTGCACGCTTTTAATTTTCCAACAAAAACTAACTTTTGGATGGTTTTAGCTATTTTAGCTGTTTTTCTTTAAACTTATTTGTGCATTTTTTATGTGAATTCCTTAATTAAAAAGTACCAATTTTTTTTTACCTATATTTTAGTTTGCATCTTTAAATTACATATACCAAAAAGATTTTTTTTCTACTTGTACATATTTTTAGGACTAAATAAGACTATAATTTTATTAGAGAAAAAAATGATTGGGCTAGTGTATTTTAATTAAAATTGAGCCAAAATTGGCCCAAAATTTGAGCCCAATTCGGCGATACCCGGTCCAATAAATGGCCTGCCAAGACCTGGTCCAAAACGGCGTAGTTTTATGATTAAACTGTGTCATTTTATTAAGTGAAACTTAGACCAAATCTCAGCCATTCATCCTACTCTGATTCAATGGCCCTTATTCAATATCCTCAGAGGTATATAAGGCCCCTAAAATCATATTTTTGGCCTCCATTTTCACTTCAACCAAACCCTAGAGCCTCTCTTCTTTCCCCTCTCTCACTAGCCGCCGCACCACCCATCTTCACTGCCACTATCGCCACTGCCGCCGCAGTAGTGGCTCCAAATCACCTCAAAATTACACCGTTCTCTTCATCTCACTCCCCTCTCTCCTAATCCGAGCCCCAAATCTTCAAAACCCCCTCTAAATTCCGTGGAATCGAAACCCTAGATGGCCGCTTCTTACTTCCTTCTTCGATTTTATGATGAACCGGCCACTACACCCCCACGAAATCTACATGAAGTAGATCTCATTTTCCTTTAACTTTACC